ACCCCCCCCCCCACCACACTCCCTCCACCTCCACCACACCCCCCCACCACACTTCCTCCACCTCCACCACACACACCCCCACCACACTCCCTCCACCACACACCCACCGTTTTTACCTCCTCTGTCCTGGCCGAATTGCCCTGTCCTCCCTGCAGGCCCCTCGGCCTCTGCCCAGCCCTTTGATGTCAGGTGTCTAGGGCTCTCTCTGCCCAACACTCCACACTTTCTCCTGGATAACCTCGGCTGCCTGAGACTCCAGCTGCAGGACCCCCAGTCTCAGGCCCCTCTCCTGGGCCACAGACCCCAGATCACCAGTCCCTACCCAGGCTCCTCCCTGTAGGTGCTCCACAGGCACTCAGACTCAGTATGGACAAGGCTGAGCTCACCATCCTCTACCCAATGTCACCCAGGGCAGAAACTCGGCCAGCATCCCTGACACCTCCCACTCACACCTGGAAAAACCCTCAGGGCCTGTAGCGTGCCCCTCATAAATATTTCTCAACCTCCACTCCAGAAGGTTTTCCCCCCACTCCCACCTCCAAAGCCCAGGTCCCAGCTCAGTCCTCTTACCTGTCACCTGGCCACTACACCCACCTCCTCCCTAATGTCCTTGACCCCATCAATCCAGCCTCCACACATCAGCCAGAAGGAACCTTCTTGCCCCAGGTCCACCGCATCTGACCTTGCCCTGCCCCAGTGCCCACCGCACCCCAGGCACCTGTGTAGCCATCTGAACAGTGGCACTGGAAGCCATTGGGCAGGTCCTGGCAGAGGCCTCCACTGAGGCATGGCCGTGAGGCACACTCGTCCACGTCCACACTGCAGTCGTCCCCTGCAAGAAGCCCAGCTGTGGTTCCCACAGCTCCCTCAGAGCCAGACTGGAACTGGAAAGGGCCCATCTTATAGCTAGGGAGACTGAGGCCAGAGAGAGGTGCTTGAACCCAGCTTCGGCATCCCTCCCGCGCATCTGGACACTACAGACCTGCTTCCCTGGAAGGGGGCTCACCCTCAAAGCCCAGAGGGCAGCGGCACAGGAAGCCAGCAGCATGGCGGAAGCTGAAGGCTCCTGGGAAGGCGGCCTGGATGCCCCCGTAGAGGGTTGGGTCGGAGCGCTGCAGGCACTGGCCCCCGTGCTGACAGGGGCCCACCGCACATTCATCCTCATCCACCTCGCACCGCTCGCCGCTGTAGCCTGGGGACACACACAGGTGGGCGCCAGGTCACAGGCGGTCACCAAGCTGCAGCCCTCCACTGCTGCCAGGCCAACCCAGCTCAGATATGGTCACGGATATTCCGAGGGAGGGACACACGGACGGGGTAGGAATGACCAGTGCAGGCTTCACCAGCATCAGCATCGTGTTACTATTATTACTAGCATTACTGAGCACTCTGCACGTGCGGGGCCCTGTACCAAGGCTTGATGGGCGCTACACCTTTTTACTCTCCTCAGAACAGCCCAGGAGCAGGTGCTGTGATTAGCCCTGTTTAGCAGATCTGGAAACTGAGGCTCAGAGAAGTTGCAGTCACAGGCACACACTGGGCTTAGTCCACTCAGGGTGTGTGCGCACGGCCAGGTTGTCCTCCTCAGCCTGAGACCCCGCCCCTCTGGGCGTGCGGGCGCGCACGCGCACACGCTCTCGCGCACGCGCACACACACCTGGCCAGCAGAGGCAGCGGAAGCTCCCGAGGCCCTCGAGGCAGGACGCGTTGTTCGCGCAGGGCGCCGACGCGCACTCCAGCACCTCCTGCTCGCAGCGCGCGCCCTCGTAGCCCGTGTCCGCGCAGTCGCACCGGAACCTGCAGGGGGGCGCGCGACCGGAGCTGAGCACGCGCCCGAACCTCCAGCTCCCTCTATCTCCATCGCGCCCCCCACCCCGCCGCCCACCGCGCAGCCTCACCGCTTGAGAGCACCCGGCCGCCCGCTCACCCGTTGACCAGGTCGTGGCATACGCCCCCGTGCACGCACGGCTGGCTCTGGCACTCGTCCAGGTCCAGCTGGCAGCTGGCGCCCCCGAAGCCCGGCGCGCACACGCAGCGGTAGGAGCCCAAGCCGTCCAAGCACGAGCCCCCGTGCAGGCAGGGTGCCGAGGCACACTCGTCCACCTCCGCCTCGCAGGTCACGCCTGGACAGGGACCGAGACAGACAGAGAGATGGCCGCCCAGAGGGAGCGCGAATGAGGCCGAGCCAGGCTGACCCGAAACCTACTCCAGACTGACCAGAAGCGGACCGTCAGGATCCAAAGAGAGAATCCGTTGTTCCATTCATCCAGAGCAGGTGTTTCTTGCGCCAGCAATAACAGTGGGGTTGAAACAACACAGACATCCCTGCCCCCTTGAGCTCATACCAGTCTAGCCCAGGAGACAGGGATTAGGTCAATATTACGTAAATGTAATATTGCTCAACAGTGGGTACGTGCTAGATGCTGTGACAGCAAGAGGCAGGGTCTTAGCCTGGGGTATTGAGAGTCAGGGAAGGCTTCTTGGAAGAAGAGACTTGAAGGATGAGGGGGCATTCGCTAGACTAGGATAGGGGGCTGTGTGAGCAGTTGGATTCCAGAGAGACTAAGTCTCTCCAGAGAGACTATTGGTGAAGACCTGCTTGGGGCAGGGGCATGATGCCCTAGGGCAGGGGTGCATGGAGGGTCGGGGAGCAAAGGGGAGAGTGAAGGAGGTGGGGCAGGAGTGGGGAGTGTCAGGCCTTGGGGGCCAAGTAACACAGTCCGAGCTTATCCTGAAAGCTTTAAGCAGCTGATATACAGTCCTCTCTACATTTCGCTCTGCTGGCTTTTTGTGGAGGGTGTAAGGAGGGACCCCAGCAAGGAGGGGCACACCCGGTGGGGGATGCTGGACCAAGGTAGCCAACTCCTTCAGGCTTTCCCTGCACTGTCTTGCTTTTACAACTGGAAGTCCTGTGTCTTGGGAACCCTCTCAGTCCTGGGTAAAACCAAGACGGTTGGAAGACTCTCAGGGGAGGGGCTGTGGAGATGAAGGGAGATGGAGGATCTCAGGGTTTGGAAATGTACTGCCCGAGCTCATCGTGGAGCCCGCTTGTCATTGTACACTCCAGTGGCCCTGCCTCTACCCCCTAAGTGGGATTGGTCGTGGGGGTCTGGGGACCCAGCTGGCTCCAGCTGGAACCTTCCCCCCTTCCTGGCTCAGTGAGCACAAAACAGGGGCCCTCCTTCCTGTGACCCAGCCCCACTCCCACCCCCTGTGCCAGGGGGAGCCAGGCCCAGGCCGCCTGGAATCCCAACCTCCCCCGCCTGGCTAGGAAGGGAAGGAGGAGGAAATGAATCACAGCAGGCGCTGTCCCACTCACATCCACAACTCACCCAGAAAGCATTACCCAAAGTGTCTGAGCACCGCACATCTGGGCACGCACACACCTGCTGGCACCCACACACAGACTTTCCCACAAACACATTCAGGGATCCCAGACACCCGTGGATACTGGCAGACACAGAGGCCTTTACGTGACCTACTCACACATCCACAACTAATCTATCCAGACACCTGAACTCTCAAATGATGAGAAAGGTACATGGAACCCGTTTCCAAAGTTCATTTTCATCTGTGTGCTGAGATCCATCTCTCCACTCTATGCCCCCTCTCCCCGGAGCCCAGCCCCCAAGTCTGTACCTCTTACTCTGAGGTGACCTCAAACTGCCCTCTGCCCTCAGAGAGAGTCATCTGAATTCAGGGTTGAATAGAACCTGGAGTGTCCACACTGCAGGCTCCCAGCTGCCCTAGACCTAGCCTCGCTCCCAGACCTGTCCCTAGCTGCGCCCTCCTTCCTGACTTCCAGGCAGTTGCTCCAGGATGCTCTCGCCTTGGAGGGTGGATGGGACTGGGACGGGGCCATACTCTGGAGGAGGGAACTGTCCCCCTCAAGACAGCAGAGATCCCTGGGGGTACATCTACGTTACAATTTGAGCAAGTCCACCAGTGTCTCTATGCAGGAACTCTGGGGGCTCCTGCCCCCAGGGGAGAGGGTCCACATGACAACCTGAACCATACCGGGGTATCGTGCTCCAGAACCATTAGACGAGCCACCAGAGGATGTCTGTGCTACAGCCTGACGGGTCTGGAGTGAGTCGATGCTAGAAGTACTGTCTAGATGTGTCCTCGTTAAAGCCAAGCCAGGCATATCTACACTCTAGTCCCAGAGATGCCTGAGGGGTGTCTCCACTACCAGCACCACCTGAACCCTACAAGGGACTGAAATAACACTTGTCCAGTGTCTGTAGTGTGCCAGGCGCCGTGCCAGCGCTCGCCCATCACGCTCTTTTCCGGAGCTGCCAGGTTAGCCCGAGGGGCATTAATTCCGCAGCATGACCAAGAGTGGGCACACCCTAGAGCTGCCAGGATGCCTGGGGGTGTCTCCCCTCTAAGGTCAAAGCTGAATTCGTGATTTGACAACTCTGAGCCGCTGACGGGGTCGACATTACACACGCCTCTGGGAAGAGCTGGGGCCATTACCTGCATAGCCGAGGGGGCAGTGGCACTCGTAGCGATCGGCCAGGTTGTGGCAGGTGGCCCCGTGGTGGCAGGGCCGGGACGCACACTCATCGATGTCCAGCTCACAGTGTGGGCCCTGGAATCCGGGCACGCAGTAGCAGCGGAAGCCACTGGGGTCTGGAGCCTGGGGCACACACAGAGCACCGTGGTGGCATGGCTGACTGGCACAGCCCCGGGGCTCCAGGGGCCCACAGGTATAGCCACCATTCTCTGTAGCCTGGCACTCGGTCCCTGGAGCACATGGGTCTGAGGCACAGGCACCCGGGGGGTCCGAAGGCGCCGTTCCTGTAGAGAGAGGAAACTGGCTGGGCAGGGTGGACGAGGGCTACCAGGACACTCCCCTCCCCACACCCAGGCCCATCCCCAGACCCCAGAGTCAGCAGCAGGGCTCTGTCAGTACTCTGGAGGACGCAGGGAGCGCCAGGGGGTCTACACACCAGGTGCCAGCAGGCTGCATGCATCTGCACCCAGAACTGGGAATGGTTTCAGGGGTGCCTCCAAAGCAGGGAAATAGGACCCGGGATGCCTGGCTCCCCGGGCAGGATTAGTGAGCAGACGCCCACTAACCCTGTGAGCTTTTCGCTCCACGGTGTCAGTGCAGCCCCGCAGCGCCCCTCGGAAGCAGGCCCTGTCAGGCCCATTTTACAAGAGAGCGGATCCAGGCTCCAGAGTGAAAGTGAGGACTTGCCTGAGGTCACACAGCAAGTTCGTGCTGGCTTAGCCCTCAGGGCCTGTCCGTGTGCTCCAGCCCCACCTGGGGAGGGGATCCCCGGCCTGCTCCCTCCCAGGAGGGTGTCTCCTCCCACTGCCCACTCCACTGCTCCCGCTGGGGGTCTGGTAACTCCATCCCTGCGTGAAACTGGAGATGGAGGACTTCAAAGGCCCCTCTCTCCCCTCCACCCCTCCTCCCCTCCTGGCCCTGCTGGCCTGGGAACTTCTCAGAGGATCCCTGGCCCTCACAGTATCCGCCGCCATCAGCAAGTGTGAGTGGCCAGACTGGCCGGGGTCACAGGGTTCAGGGCAGGTATTGAGACCAGCCGACTGAACTCCCAGCTCCAGCCACTGCGACATCTCCACAAGGCAGAGCTCCCTCACTTAGAGGGTCATCTCCTGATCTGGAGCCCGCCTCCCTCCCACCCTCCCTTGCTAAGAGCCTGTCAGTGTCATGCGGGCGTAAGAACTTTTGAAGCTTTGAAGTCAGACAGCCCTGGGTTCAAATCCCCACTCGGCCAACAAGCTATGAGACCTTGGGCAAGTCATTTCTCCTACTGAGCCTTCGTTCCCCAATCTGAAGAGGGTTAATAATAGTACGTGCCTCGTAGGATACGGAAGGATTGAGAGCCTCAGGGACGGCAGTCAAGTGCCCACTCGGGGTAGGAACTCAGTAAGTGATGGAGGAACGGGAGCCGCCCGCGAGAAGGAGGCACCTCGGACGGACCTGGGGCTCCGAGAGGCGCCCCTCCCCCACCCAGGTTGTCAACCAGACACTAACCAGGCCCCGGAACAGCTTCGGGCCCTGTGCCTCCCCTCCCCCACCCAGCGAAGACCCCCCCCAGATAAGGCTCGACAGCCTCTCAGGCGTCATCCACATTCCACCAGGCAGGGCTGTCCACCGGCCAGCCCCAACCCTTGCCAGCCAGGGCCAAGCAGGATGGGGGACAGGGAGACAGAGGTACCGACCGACCGATGGACCCAGGGAGAGAGCCCAGCTGTCAGCCCCACCGCCCAGCTCCCAAAGCACCTGGTACAGCTCAACATGGGCTCGCTCTCCAAGATTCTCACCAAGAGGGGGTAGGGGCAAGCACCCACCCAGGGCCAGGTGTGTGGCAAGGGGACAGAGGGTCTGAAACACTGTCAGGCCAAGATAACCTTCCAGGGCTCTGGGCTCCACAGACCCTCTCTGCCCACAGCTCCCCTCCCCCAAGCCTGGTCTCACCAGTGAGGGCAGGGGCCATCTGGGCCTCTCTGAGGGACTTATGGGCAGCTTGTCTTTCTTCTTCCCACCCTGAGCCATGGTGGCGGATCAGTATAGAGCCTGGTCCCCCAGGGCTAAATAGTCCCATGTGGGTGGGAAGATGGTCTGATTGGGAGGGGGAGATGCTCTGATGGGGGTGAGTGGATCAGGCTTCCTTGGGAAAGGACACAGGTTTGGGCATCAGACCCGGCTTGTATCTGGGGTGTGAACAGTGCCCGCCTTGTGAGTGTTGTGAGGGGCCACTGAGGGAACGTGAAGCCCCGGCACCAGCGAGCCTTCAGTGAGGGCTCTGGCCATTACAGTCAGGGTCCCTGGACCCAGCACACTCAGGAGGAGCAGCACAGTGGCCACAGCTCCCACTTGAAGGGCCCTGGCTGTTGGGTCCTATGCCAACAGGCCCTTCGTTTAATCCCAGCAAGCGCCACCCCTCATCTGTGTGACCCAAGGGACCCCACCCCAGTCTGGAGCTTTGCCCCTGATTCAGAGCAGGCTGAGGAGGCAGCACTTGCGGGGACAGGGGAAGGTGCTTCATCACTGTGGGAGCAGGTGGGCCATGACCCTGTATGACGGAGCCCCAGGAGGCCGAGCCCAGCCCCACTGGAGGAAGGAGTTCCTGCAGGCAGAGAGGGAGGGAGCTGTCCGCCCTAGGAGGCCTGCAGTGGTGCCAGAAGCCTGCATGTGAGGCCCAGCCTTCTCTCTTGTGTAATCTCTGTCTTCACAGTTACCTTAGGGGGTGGATAGAGCTATCATTCATTTTTTACAGTTGAGGAAAGTGAGGCTCAGAGATAAGCGACTTCACAGTTCCCTAGGAGGGGCTGGAATCCAAACCCAGGTCTCACTGCTCCACAGCCTCCACTCTGGGGGTTCCAGAATCACCCCAGGACCTATATAAAGGATACGGATTCCTGGGCCCCACTCCAGACCCAGAGATGCAGAACACTTGGGCCTGGGGCCCAAGAATCTGCATTGCAACATGCTCCCTGGGGACTCCTTTGCACGTTGAGGCCTGGGAACAAGCACTGACCTTGGGCTCTCTGCCTCCAGGGAGCGAGCCTGGGAGGCCTGGCTAGCCCAGGGCTGAGGGGAGGAGAGGTGAGGATGGCGGGATGGAGAAGGGGCCTTCCCAGCCTGGCTGGAGGGGCGTGGCCTGTTGCCAGGGTGACGAGGGGCCTGTGCTTATCTTTACAAATCCCTCCTGACCTCTCAGGCTGCCTGGGACGACCTGGCGGGGGAAGGATTAACGGACACCCGCCCCTCCCCTTGGACCTGCTGCCCTGCCCTGGGAAGGCCCAGAACCCACCTCCGGGAAGAGAATTTTCTTCATGGAAAGGACAGGATTATAATAACAGGAACCATTTCGTGAGTGCACGTGTAGCTGTGCTACACATCTTGCATCTATTATTACATTATTGTGTTTGATTCAAACTGGAAAAGGTGGGTGCCAGTAAGAAAACTGTTTCTCTAACTCAGAGAGGTTGATAAACTTGCCCAGGATCATTCCTCAAAAAACTAAGAAGCAGATCATTTCCAGACTTCTGTGAAGTCCACATCTCCCAATGCATGTGAAATTCCCACTTTGCAAACTCTAAGTTGCCACCCATGCATTGTCATTTTAGAGCATTCTAGCCCAGCCTCCCCCAGGCACTGAAAGAGTCTCTCAGAAGGCTTGCCTGAGAGTGAAGCTTCCAATATCAGCCTGGGCAGAGCGGGCAGTCTTCTATGTCTATCCAGATCCAGCTGCTAGCAATTGCACGGTGCTTCAGGCTTCACTCCGTGCCTAGCTACTCCTACTTTATTTGCACTTGTAACAGGCCTAATGAGAACTGCCAACGACTAATGAGAAGTGTTTGCTGAGGGTGGGTTTTGTAAAGCTTCTCATCTTGACAAGGCAAAAAAGAGAATACATCTGGGAAGCCACCCAAGATCCCATAAGATGTGCTTCTGGCATAGGGAAAAAACTGCCCACCTAATAGCATGAGGCCCCAAGGGTAGGACTGAATAACAGTGCAGCACAGCTGGGGCAGAGCCATCGGGAAAGGGCTAAATGCCTCTAATAAGGCAGCAGAGTTTGGAATAGTCTTTTACAAAAATGTTTATCACCTGAGGTTAAAAGACATAATTTTGGTAACCCCCACAATAGCTGTCGTGGATCCACTGCCTACCCTTTGCCTGGCGTTGGCAAATTCCAATGTTTCCAGACCATGGTCTCAGAGGGCTGGGGCCATGGAGGCACTTCCTGGAATGGGCGTGAGACCGGGCAGATGGGTTCCCAGGCCTGCCACCCCAGCAGGCCACTTTTAACTATTAGTGGCTTCCGGCTCCTTTCTAAAATTTCCTTTGAAACGGGATTCCATGCCAAACCTAAGTTGGAGAACTGCTGCATTTTCTTATCGGATTCTTGTAGCAGCCCTCAGAGTGAGCTGGTTTGCCCCCTTTAGACAGAAGCACAGAGAGGAGATGTGACTTTACATAGACTGGTCCCATAGGCGCCTGTGAAATCCTGGCCCTGCCACACACAAGCTGTGACTCTGGGCAAGTTACTGACCCTCTCTGGGCCTCGCTTTCCTCCTCTGTAAGCTGGGGGTATCAGAGTCGACTTCATAGGGCTGTTGTGAGAATTAAATTCGATCATGTTAGTCCAGGAGCAGCACGTACAGGCTGATGGTATTATTCACTTGCCAACAGATCTTTACTTGGGGCAAACACTGACTATCCAGCAAATCCTGACGTTAGAGCATTTGTGTGTGGCTCCCTGCTCCCTGCCTCTGTCCTGCAAGCCCCCACCCAGCTCTGGCTGGAGGAGGGGCCGGACTTGGGGGCTGGACTTGCTGCCCCTTTGTCAGCTGGGCTCCCTGGTGTGCAGGCAGCCGGGAAGGATGTGAGAGCCCCGATGTGCCCCATTGTGCTCCAAGATGCTTGGCGCTCTCCTAGCAACCAGCCGGGCCTTTGTGGCAGACTAGGCCCAGGAGGGAGGGGCCCCGCTCAGGGCCTGGCAGGGGTGGGCAGCAGAGCCAGGGGCCCAGGGCATCCAGAACCCCCATCCCCTCTGGAATGGAAATTACTTTTCAAGTGACATCATCCCTGGCCCATCTCCTCTGGGCAGTCAGGGCTTGGGTCCTGGCATCCAGAAATGTTCATACCCATAGCACCGCACCCCAGCTTTCGGGGATCCCCAGGGAGGGGGGGCTCCCTGTGCCAACATTGCAGGGGGAAAGGCTGGTCCTGGGAATCCCAGCAGGGCTGCGGGCGGGTGAGTGTGTACATCAGTGTCCGCTCCCTTCGGTAGCATCCGTCTACTTGGTGTTCACTTTGCCACAAGGTTCATGTGAAGGTACCTCTGAGTGTGAGTGCACACCTGTGTGCAGGCACGTGTCACGTACAGCTAGGTGTGTGTGCTCGAGTGCATGTGTGGCGGGTCTACACGTGCCTCTGTGTGCCCTTGTACATGCCACACCACTGTGCTGGTGTGGGGGAAGTGCACGTGTGTGCGTGCACGTGCCTGCGTGTGTGCACTGTACGGTAGGGGACAGACCAGGATTTCATGCCCCTTGTGCAGAGAGCAGGCCCCCAGCTCCTCTTTGGTTTGCCTCAGGGGCCCAGCTTGTAAGGCCCCATCCTTCCCTGAGCCTCAGTTTCCTCCCTTGCAAAACAGGGGCCTTGTCCTCCACAAGGGCCCTGCGGAGAGGAGACGAAGGTTTTGTGAGCCGGGCCGTGCGAGAGGCTGAGGAAGGCCCCAGGGAGGGGCCTGAGAGGTTGGACCCACATCCTGGGACTCTGAGGAGGTGGGGGCTCCCCCGCTGCAGCGGAGCCCAGGCCGCCCTCCTGCACAGGACTTCCCAGGCCTGGCCCCGTAGCTATAGTGACCAAGACAAAGCATCCCCAGACCCCCCAGGAAGAATTCCAGGCCGGCGCACACGTGAATCCACTTGGACAAAAGCAAAAGCCTCTTGGTGAACGGGGTCTGGCTTCACGAAGCCCTTTCAGCTTGATCTGGGAACGCTGGGAGGCGGGGAGGGGGCAGCGGTGGACACATGTGTTCCCAGATGCCCAGCCACTCCCCAGGGACGCCAGAGCACCCCCAGCCCCGCAGTGCAGGCAGGGTGATCACCAAACGGAGGGGATGCAGGCAGAAGCCCTGGGTCTCCTTCCCTCTTCTCCACCCCAATCCACTGGGCTGGGGTCTGCTGCCCCCACCCCACGTCCCCGTGTCGAGAGCAAGGACACAGTTCAACCCACTCAGTAAGTTGCACCCCACAACTCGCGCTGGGATATAGCCCACCAGACGCACAGAGCCTCAGACACAACCCCTGGCTCGCGCGGGACAGCTGCCCAGCCTCACAGCTTAGACGTGCCTACAGCCCACAGCCCATAACCTGCGCACAACTCACATGAGAGCCCCCAGACTCGGGCCTCACAGGCCAGAACAGCCCAGCCCAACACCCCTCCAAGACACACGGCCCACCCATTACCCGGACCCCGGCCGGTGGCGGTCCCCCCACAAAGTCCCCCGTGACCACGCAAGCTCCAGTGGCCCCCAGATGCGCACCCCCCTGCACCCTGCAGTCGGGCCCGGCACCCACACGGACACCCCACGGCCTGGGGTGCTGCCCTGGGTCCCCCAAGGCTCGGCCCCCAACTCACCGACCGGGAGGGCGAGGGCAGAGCCCCCGAGCAGCAGCAGCAGGAGAGGGGCCGGGGGCCTGGGGTCCCGGGTCCCAGGCCGGGCCAGCGCCATGGCAGCGCTTTGCTCGGCGGCTGTGGGAACGGGCGGCCTGGCTGGCTCCACACCCCCGTCTCCCTCCAACCAGCACTAATGCCGTGGACAGAGGCCCGGCCCCTCCCGCCTGCCCCTCCCCCTCCCCTCCCCCTCCCCACCCCGCCCTCCCAGGCGGCTCCACCTTGAGTAGGGTCTAGAGGAGGGGTCTGACCCAGCCCGCTCCCCAAGCCCAGGGCTCCAGACTCCAGATGAGGCCTTGGGGGCCCCCATGTGTCTGACCTTGTCCAAGGGCCCACCCTTCTCTCCCTCCTGACCTCCCGCCCCCTTTTCCTCCCACCTCTCAGGTCCCGCTGCCTCAGCCTCCTCATAGACATTTCTGTTCTGGGGGCTGTTCTTCTCACCAGATGATACCAGCTACTCCCAAGTCCTCCGTGATCCCACCCTGCCCACCCCCATCTTCTCTTAGCCCAGGCCTCCCTCCCCAGCCCAGCCCAAGCTCCCCTCCCACCTCCTCTCTGCTGGAAGCCCCAGCCCCTCCCACTCAGCTTGTTCCTCCCGGCCTGCTCCCTCCCAGGGCTGCCCACCTGAGAAGGCATCCCGCCCCCCCCCCCACCCCCTCCAGCACCCCCTGCAGCTGACGCCTCACTCCCCACTCCCCACTTTCAATCCACTGCGAGCTCCTGGCCACTCCTCACCTCCATGTCCCTCAGTCCCACCCCACCTCTTCACTCCCATGGGCCCCACACTGCCACACACAGCCCCTCTCACCCCCGCCCTCAGGATGAGGTCCCCCGGCTCCCCCGACCCTCACCATCCCTTCAACCGCCAAACTGAGTCTTCTCTATTTCTCCCCTTTGGCCTAGATCTTCTGCCTTTGCTGTTTACAACTCCAAAAACCTCATAACGATCCAAGGCGGCCCATTCTATGCAACTGGCAGCTCTCACTAAGCAGCAAGCTTTCCCTCTCCACTGGCTGGGAAGTCCTTCTTGTTGTCTAACCTTACAGTCTCCTGCTGCACTTGATGTTTGCTTGCTCCAGGCTGGAGAGGGAAATGTTGTCTGGGTGGAGAGGAGGAGTTCTTGCGGGGACCTGGACCCAGGAATCTAGGTCATCTCAAAGGCACTACAACATCAAAAACCAGCCCATTCTTCCACTGCCCTCAGCTCCAGTGAAAGGAGAATCCCCTTGCTGAAAGGACTTCCTGAAATGAGCAGCTGGCCCCTGTGCTTGTTTGGCACAATTCAGTGACCATGGACTCAGGCCACCCAGGCCCTATGCTGGGCTCTGGATGTGTCCCTGACACCTCGAGGGCACAGTCTGGAGAGACAGAACTGAGTAAATTGGTGGAGCTCCAGGCTGAGCTTGAGGGATGGGCAATGGCCCGTGGAACTTCCAGGAAGGGAAGAGTGGGCGTCACACAGGGCATAGGCAGTGGCGCTGGTTCTCCAATGCTGGGGAAGTGCTCAGAGAGGACACCAAAGGCCTGGGTGGACCCCTTGTCCACATCCCTGCTCCATCTCCACCCTCCAGTCTTGGTCCTTCTGGGGTAGGAGTTGCTTCTTGGTTTCTGGAGCTCCCCATACTCCCAAATCACCTTTAATTCCCTGCCTCTCACATATACCAGGAGCCCGTCCCCCTCCACGTGGCGGCCCCTCGCCACTCTGTTGGGAAAAGCACAGTCTCATCAGCCGAATAGATCCAGGTTTGAGCCCGACTCCACCACTGACTAGGGAGCGACTCCAGCCGTGAATCCCTTTTCTGGGCCTCACTTTCCTCATCTGTAACATGGGGGTGATGATGAGTTTAAGCAGCAGTGCACGTTCTCTTTATTCTGCTTCTCAGAGATCCAGGCAGCCCCAAGCGCAGAACAGGAGGACCACGAGGCTCCCACAGCCCCCTGGGTCTCTGGATACACAGACACAAACACCCACGTTTTTACAATGAGCTCCGAGGTCAGAAGGGCGCCTGAGCTCTCCTTCCAAGCCCCGCCCCCTGCCCCCTGCCCGGGTCCTGCAGCCGCCACGCGCCACCTTGTGGCCAGAACTGGGAGTGTCCTGCGAGGTCTGTGGGGCACCCAGGCGAGCGATGAGGACACTGAGGGAGGGATGCGGGAACTAAACTGCACCCGCAGGAGGAAACAAGTGAGCGGGAAGGAGGGGCCCGGGAGTCAGGTGGGCGGCAGGCAGGACTGAGGTTAGACAGGGCCGATCATCCTGACGCACTTCCCGGCCTGGATCTGGAGAAGAGACAGTAAGAGTGGGCCAGCCCCTCTGAGAAGATGGTCCCTCAGGAGAGTCCACTTCCCCCATCCTCCCGACCTGGGGGTGGGGCTGAGGAAGGGGAAAGGAAGCCAGCATAATCTCATTTTACCTCCTCAACGACGCTGCAAGGTCAGCATTGACCCCATTTTACAGATGAGGAAACTGAGGTTGGGGGAGGTGAGATTGGCTGCTCAGGGTCCCACAGCTAATCAGTGCAGGGGTGGGATTCGACCTGGGGGCTGCCCAATGCCACCCCTTTTCCCTCCCCAGCCTCTGACTGTAGGTTGACTAACTGTGCTCCATTCAACTCAGGAATTATTTGCTGCCTGCTCCCTGGTCAAGGGCACCCAGCCCTGGGGCAGGTGCCCACCAGCCTTATGGAGATGTGACAGTAAAGTTTAGTGGTTTGGTAATGCCTGCTTTGGCATCAGTCCCCTTGATTTGAATCCTGATTCTGCTCTGTGCTCTTAGGCAAGGTTTTGTTGGTCTGTCTTTACTTTTCTGAACCTTAGCTTCCCCATCTGTAAATTGGGGTAATACCAGTATCAACCTCAGAGTTCTGTGATGAGCGGGCTGCTGCCCGCAGGGCCCAGGTGGGGGAGGGGATGGTGACGCGGGGCTGCTTCCCGCTCAGGAGAAGCCTCCAGACCCTTCCAAGGTGACCTCTGCCCTGGATGCCCCCACCAGGGTCCTGCATCTCCCTTCTCAGGGCCTGTGTGATTATTCTGTCTGTTCCCCGCTCCCCAGCCAGATCCACCCTCTTCCCTCTCTGCCCTGCTGATCCTCTGGCCTTCCTCACGGCTCCCTTCCCCGGGAGGGGGAGGCGGCAGGAGCAGGGAGGGCTCCGGCCGCTCTTTCTGCCTGCACTGGGTGCACCGCTGACTACAGCTGCAGCGGAGGCCCCTCTGCTGCTTCAGCTCTCACTGCTCAGGTAATGCTGTTCTCTCTGTGGCCAGCTGCGGGGCCACCTTCAGCCCTGACCTGGCCGGGTCTCTCCGAAGCCTTCCTTCTCCACTGTCATCCACTCCCTCCTTCTGGGAACCCTCTCCCCTGGCTTCCCTCCTACCTGCCTGGCTGTCCCTTGCTCACTTTCCCCCCAGAATGTTGGGGTGTGTCTGGGTCTGCTCCCAGCCCCCTACCCTTCTCAAACGACCCTCCCCAGGTGAACTTCCTGACCAACCCAGCTCTCTCACGAGCCCTCTACCTGTGGTTCTTAACCCTGTTTCAACTCCCCCTTGGTAACAAATATCTTGTATCACTCCTTATTACCCTGAAATGAAATGACGTGCGTATGCATACAATTCCCCAACAGAAAACGATCCCAATGCCCGGACTGAAATATCAGAGCGAGCCATTGTAGGCTAGCGGTGAAGTGCACAGACACTGGTTCAAATCCTGGCTTCTCCACTTCCCAGCTGTGTGACCTTAGGTAAGTTACTTAACTTCTCTGTGCTCAGTTACCTCCCCAGTCAAAAAGTTTTTTGTTTTTTTTTTCTCTGTGCAGCACTTTACTGCATAGAGTTGTTTTCAGGATTAAATGAGTAATTATTCACGGAGCATTTAGAACAGTGCCTGGCGTATGTTACAAGCTGAATGAGTGTCGGTTAAATTTAAGATGATAGGTCTTTCAAGTTGTAAATACTCTTATTGACTACACTAGAAGACATGATAAAATAATGAGAAGCTTGCACCTATTCATAGAACCCCCCTGAATGCAACAGCCCCAAATGCAGACCTATGCAGAGTGAGGTGTTGGCATCTCAAATACCACAAGCACTGTTGAAATTAAGTAGGTAATTTTCCCAAATGGTGGCAACCCTGGGTAAGGTTCTGAACAAAATAAAGAGCAATCTTCCTTCAATTTACATGGAAGCTGTATTTCTGGCAAATTCAGTGTATGTTAAAGCTCAGAGCATTCATGCAAAAGTGCTCTTATTTCTGTGCAAGCCAGAGCTGGGTTCTGGGCTCAGACACAAGTGTTTTTCCTTCACGTGAACGTCTGGCAGGACATTCAAAAGTCAAAAGGCACGTGGAACTTTCTCCATGGTGTGGAATGTCCTGCACGTTGCAGGGCAGCCAGCATCCAGGGCCCACCCACTAAATGCCAGTGGGGCCCCCAGTCATGAAAACTGAATGCACCCCCCACAAATTCCCCAAATGGCGCCCAGGAGGCTCCTGGGTTCTACACCAGCTGCCAGACGGACTTTTCCAAATCCCAGACTGTCGACTCCCAGTTACCCTCAGGCCAAGTCCAAATTCCTGAACCCGATGCCCAAATCCTCGTCATGCAGCTGCCAGCTTACCTCCACAGATGCGGACCCCATACCACCAGCATACCACCCATACCACCCTACACCCAGCTGTGCCATGTCCCCAACCCCAACTGAACACACACACACACGCACGCACACGCACACGCGCGCACACACACGCCCACACACACTCACTCCCTGGCTGGCTTTTGGCTGACTAGTCTTTGCTCTTGGGCTCTGCTCCCTGGAAAGCCCACCCTGGTTGAATGCTGTGCTGACATCTGGCTGATCCTTTAAGACCTGGCATCACTTCCTCAGAGCAGCCTTGGTTACCCCCAGGCTTTGTTAGGGCCTCTTCTGTGCTCGCACAGACCCCACGGCTTTGATGGAAGCCCCCAGGACTCACTGACCATGCCGTGTTCTAGTTGCCAGTATAGATGTCTGTACCCTCCTGAGCAAGGGCACGTAGTAGGTGATTAATACACAAGCAAGGCCCACTGAGCCCTTGCCCTTGGGGAGCTCACATCTAGTAGAAAGACAGACGCACAGACAGTGCTGGAAGGCGGTTGCTCAGAGCCTGGTGAGAGCCCTAAGGACAGAGAGGCCAGCTGTCGGAGGGCAACTTCCCAGAGGAGGCAGGAGTTTTCCAGGTAGAGGGGAGGCAGAAGACATATCTGGCTGGAGACCCAGCGTGGGCAAAGGTCAGGTGTGGGAGAAGGCATTGTGCCATCGTACCTTCAGGACGGCAGACGGGTGAATATTGCCCGAGGTCAGATGTGGAGGGGCTGTGATCAGAGGTGAGGCTGGTGAGTCAGCAGAGGACAAAGAGCTTGTAAGGTACCAAGGAGGTTGGGTTTTGTGCCGGGGGTACTGGGGAGCCATAGAAGGGGTTAAAGAAGGGGGGTGACATGATCAGGTTTGCATGTGGCAGAGTGTCCTCTGGGAGGAGTGTGGCAGATGCACTGCAGGAGGGCAAGGGTAGAAATATTCCAGGGAAAGGTCACGGGGTCTGAATTAGGACAGGGAGGAAAGTAGAGGACAGGGATGAGAGTGGGCATTTGAGTGGCAGAAAAAAACAGAATATTGTGTCTTCTGGGGCTGAGAAAGAGGGAGAAGGCTGGAGTGTGCAGGATGCCTCGGGGAGGGGGATCCAGACCCGCGTCCTCTCTCCACTCTAAAGGACAGGCTGCAGGCCCCTCTGGAGACACTAGAGGGAGCTCCAGGATAGGCCAGGCCCCTCTCCCACCAGCCGCCAGCCTCCACCCGCTTCTCAGAGGGGCACTGGACCCGCCCCACGGCTCAGATGTAGGCTCTGGGGTTCCTGCCAGGGCCTGGACCAAGCCCAGTGGCTCACAGTCTCGGGTCGGCCTCGTCCTCCAGCCACTGGCTTGCAGGGGTGGGGGGCCATCTTGCAAGGGTGGGCAGGTGGAGACAGAGGTTGGGGATTGCAGGCAAGAAGGACTGACAGCCCGTCCCGTCGCACTCTGTGCCCCATCTCCTTCTCCCCATGGGAGTAGGGGAGCGACCCATCCAAGGTCACACCACTGTCACAGCAGTTAGGGGATGGGAATGGACCAGAGCTCCCCAGGTCAGAGCAGCTCGGGAACTAGAAGAGTACAAGCCACTTGTCTACCCCCCACCCTTCCTACAAAATCCTGGGGTTGGAGAAGGGTCCCGTGAGCCACCTCCCACATCACCTGGGACCCCCAGAGGCAGGGGAGATAGCATTCCAGGCAGAGGGGGTCCATGGGCAGAGGCATGGAGGCAGGGGGAGGCTGCAGTTTCCAGGAGTAGGGCAGGAGGCAATGTAGCAGAATTGCAGGGAGCAGGGGTGGCCCAGAGGTGACCGGGAGGATGGGGCACCATTAGGGAGGCTGGGTGCCGCCAGGGAGCAGGAGGGAGCCTCGGTGGCAATGCCAGGACAGCTGGGCATTTGCGATGGGTGGAAGGATCGCTCCAGCTGCAGGCGAGGGAGTGGCAGAATTACAATTTTTGGAAAAGTGATCAGCCTCTCCAGTTGAGTCTAAATAGTACAATCTTTTAAACTTTTATGAAAACAAAGAATGAATAACAAATGGAGACACTGAAACAGGAAATCCATTTACTTTTGAATCTGATGGAAAGAGCAAATCGAAGCCCAAAATAATGCTAACAGGATTTTAATAACCTGTAACAAAACCTGCCCACAACACCATCAGAGCTCACTTCCAGCTGCCTCGTGGGCTGAGCCAGGAGCCTGGAATCCGGAATCCGAGGCCTCATGAGCAACAAAGCTTCCCAAGGGGAGACTGAGGCTTAGATGGGGCGGGGTCTATATGAGGTCACACAACAGAGCTGGACCTGGAACAAAGACTCCTGACTCCCAAGCTTGGGTCTCTCTCTGTACACTCCTGTGTGTCTGCACACATCACACACCAAACACACACACACACACACCCCACAGGAAATGCTCTACAAACTCAGATATGCAAATACCTGGACGGATGCAAGATTCCACAAGCTCACAGATTCACTCACATAGACCTACACCTGCCTGGATAGAAGTGTGCAGACGTCCCCATAGTGCCCCCCAAGAGCACCCCAAAATATACAGAAACATGCTCACCTTCATACACAGGTGCTCACACATGTACATCTGATCATTCCAAATATAAAGCTCAGATATGTATAGACACCCACATGGAACACACACCGCCCCCTTCAAATAGCTACAGATAGACACAAGATTCAGAACTATCCTTCAACGCACATCTACAAACACACCACTCACACATAACAGACACACAGACTCCCATTCGTTCACAGACACACACAGTCCTATGGCCACAGGCCGACACTCTGGGCTAAACAGCCATATCCCATGCTCACATCAGGGTCAACGTGGAGTGTCCAGAGACCACGCCTTGCCTGGGCAAGGGCCTGGGAAACTGAGATGGGCAAACTGCTGCCCGCTGGGGGAGCCCAAGGACCACACCCTTCGGAAGAGCCAGGGTGGTTCACTGGCTCTGCCCCCAGCAGGCAGCTCTGCCCCCAGCCCCGGCTCTGCCCCCACCCCCTCCTCACCCCAAAGGAGCACGTGAGCGGGTGTGTTCCAGTGTGTCCTATGGGGGCGGGGCAGGGCAATGTAACAGTGGAAGGAGAGAGCTCATCTACCACACCTGGGTTTAGGATTCCTTCCCTCCCTCCCTCCATTTGATATTTAATGAGGACCTTCTGTGAATCAGGCAAAAACAAGATGCAGCCTCTGCACCCAGGAGTGCTGTCCAGGGGTGAGCAGGCACACCCAGAGCTGAGCTGTTGTTACATTACAATTGTGACGATGGCTGTGAGGCCCCAGAGAGACCTGGGTTCCATCTGGGGCTGTGGGACACTGAGCGATTCACGTCCTTCTCTGAGCCTCAGATTCCTCATCTGAGAAATGGGGACCACGATCTCCCTGACCACCTGTTGGATTTGTTATTAGAATCAAATTCAATAGTGGATGTGGGGAGAAAGGGGAAGTTTCAGTAAAATAAGAGTTGGATGTTTATTAGACACCAGCTGTGTGCCAGGCCCATGATATGGGAAAGTGGATAAGTGCACAGGCCCTGGAGTCAGAGACGCCTGGCTGGGTTCAAATCCCTGCTTTTCCAGGACTAGCTCTGTGAGCTTGAGCAGGTTACTTAACCTCTCTGAGCTCCTACTTTCTCACCTGTAACATAGGTATAATAAGAATGCCCACTTTATATGAGTGCTGTGGGATAGTGCCTGTAAAATTTTTGGCATGAGGCCTGGCACAAAACAAGTGGTCATTAAGTTAGTTCCTATTATTAGGTATCAGCTTTCCTTTATTTGGTCACCTACTAGCACCTACTATGAGCCAGACATGATTTGAAGCAGTCTCCAAATTCTGCCTCATTTAATCCTTCTAACAACTCTATTATCCCTGTTTTACAACTGAGGAAACTGAGGCACAGAGAGGTCAAGTCACTTATTCAAGGTCACACAGCTGGTAGGAGGCAGAACTGGAATTGGAAGCCAGGTCTGTAGGCCTCTCTAAATCTATCTACAAGGCATGCACTTCCCTCTCGTAGTTCAAAGTCCTCCTCCCCTCTCCCCAGCAGCAGCCCCTGGTAAATAAATCATCCAGCAACAGTTTCTAATTCCCAGACTTGGTTGCAAATGA